TGGCCGCATACTACCAGCCCTTGGAATCCAGTTTGCGTGATGGATCTGCACCGAACTGCCGTCCCCAATGCACCATACAATCCCCTCATTCAGTAAATCCCTCCCATGGAGAATACTCTTAAAAGTGAACGCTGCAGAAGGAGGTGTTGTTGCAGATAAAACCGATCCATCCTCAAAATAACAAGCTTTTAGTACCCTCGCGCAAAGAGATGTTGGTACCTGTAGGATCCTCCATGCTTGCTTAGCCAACAAAGCTTGGTTGAAAGCCCCAGGGTCACGAAACCCCATACCACCATCTCGTTTTCCCGCACACATTTTTCCATGATATCCAGTGTACCTTACGTTCACCATTCGTTGCCGCCCACCAGAATTTTGAAGAGATTGAGGTCAGGTTCCGGCACGTCTTCTTTGTGAGCTGAAAACAACTCATGGTGAAAGTGGGTACAACTTGTAACCCAGATTTGATCAACACTTCTCTCGCAACTTTCGATAGTCCTTGCCCCTTCCATCCGCCAACCTTGCCTTTTGAGCTTTCCGTCACATACCTGAAAGTACCCTCCTTAGACTTCCCAACCAGTGTTGGTAGCCCGAGGTATCGCTCACTAAGAGCTCCTGAATGAACTCCCAATAAATTCTTTATTTCCTCCTTGTCATCCTCCTGATGACCTTTCCCAAAGAAGATGGAAGACTTCTGTAAGTTGACTCGTTGGCCTGATGCCACTTCATATCTCCTCAGTATTTCCCTCAACGTCACCATGTTGTCATGCGATCCTTCCAAAAACACAATACTGTCATCTGCAAAAAGAAGGTGAGTAACATGGGGGCCAGTGCGCCCAAATTTCACACCCTTCACCTTCCCCTCCTCTTGGGCTTTTTTGAGCATCGCAGAGAATCCTTCCACATAGAACAGAAACAGATAAGGGGATAATGGATCACCCTGTCGGAGCCCTCTGGAAGGGGAAAACCCCCTCGATAAACCACCATTGAGCTTCACCGAAAAAGTGGCCGACGTTACGCACCGCATGATCAGGGCAATCCATCCTTACGCAAAACCAATCCGTTCCATCATCTGCCGGAGGAAAATCCATTCAACTCGGTCCTACGCCTTCATCATATCGAGCTTGACTGCACAAAAAGGTTTCTTCCGCTTCCGTTTACGTATAGCATGCACGCACTCATACGCAACAATCACATTATCAGTAATCAACCGCCCCGGGATGAAGGCACTTTGCTCCTCAGAGATAAGCACAGGTAGAATGCCCTTAAGCCGGTTAGCCAAGACCTTCGTCGCGATCTTGTAGAGAACATTACAGAGGCTGATCGGACGAAACTGTGAAAGTAACTCCGGTGAGCTACATTTCGGGATCGTGACGATAATCGTATCATTGAAAGCCTCTGGAGCAGCTACCCCATTCAAAAAGTCCTTTACTGCCCGGCACACATCATGTCGAACCAGCGACCAGTGTCGTTGGTAAAAGAGAGCCGGTAATCCATCCGGCCCCGGTGCCTTCGTGGGTCCCATCTGGAAGAGCGCCGACTCAATTTCCTCATCCTTGATCGGCTCGAGCAGCAGCTTGTTCATATCCTCCGTCACCAAGCTATCAATGTTTTGTAACAAGTCAGCCGCCCCCTGTGTACCTTCCGATGTGAATAGCTGTTCGTAGAAGTGAGCAACCATGTTGCGCATCTCCTCATCAACCCTGCACAAAGACCCATCATCCCGCTTCAGAGCTTTCACCGTGTTCTTCCTTTTCCTATGAGAGGCTCTATTCTGAAAATATTTAGTGTTTTGATCGCCTGCTTTTAGCCAATCCACTCGTGACCTCTGCCTATACATGATTTCCTCCCGAGCATAAATTTCACGCAGCTGTTCCTCCAACTCGCGGACCTCCAGTGAGGACCTCGACACGAGGGATCTATTTTTAGCATCCAGCAGTTGCGCTTTCAGTTTCGCCACTTGTCTCCTAATAGAGCCGAATACCTCTCTTGCCCACCGCTGCATTGAACCCGCCATTGCTCCAAGTCTATCCCATGTTGCAGCAAGCCCTTGTTCTCCTGAAGCAGCTGCTATCCAAGCTTCATTAATCATGTTTTCATACTGCTCATGCCGCGTCCATGCTTCTTCGTATCTGAAAAAGCCGCCACCTCCCCTAGTACGGCTTGGAGCAGTCTCCACCGCACGCACTAGAAGGGCTTGATGATCCGACTCTTCGGTAAGGATATGTTCTACTGATGTCTCCGGAAACAAAGATAAGAAATCATCATTGCATGTAGCCCGGTCCAACCTAACCTGGATATTATGAGCTCCATCTTGTTTATTATCCCATGTGTATGGGTATCCCAAAAATCCAAGATTAGCTAGGCCACAGTCGGCCAAGCAGTCCCAAAATCTTCCATTTGTGAGAAACTTCAGAGGTTACCTCCACGTTGATCGGTCTGAAATAAAGCTTCATTAAAATCACCTAGACAGATCCATGGGTTATCGTCTTGAGCTTTGAGGTAACGAATCGCGTCCCATGATTTTTTTCGAAGCTCCGTTCGAGGTTCCCCGTAGAATCCAGTGATCGTACAAGTCTTCCCCTCGACAGACACCACTGCATCGATGAAATATTGGCACCACGGTCTCACTGTTACTTGCACATGATCTCTCCACCAAAGGGCTAGACCGCCACTACGGCCCTTGCAATCCACTGCTACACCCGAAGTAAAGCCTAAACTCCACTTGAGTCTTTCCATTGCTCGCGCCTTCTTTTTTGTTTCACATAAAAACACCACCGCTGGGTTGTGGGACCGTATCAGGTCTCGTAATTCGCCCACTGTCGAGTCCAACCCCAATCCTTGACAGTTCCAGGCCAATATGTTCATTGTGACCGGCGGCCCTGCCTCGCAGGGTCCGCCGAGGTATCATTGTGCTCTTCAATACGATCAAACACCGAGGAGGTCTTCTGTCTCGTGTCACGAACAAAAAAATCATTTCCCACTTGTCCGTCCAAATCCCCCTTCGCAACCCAGTACTGCCTTGGGCCCCTTTTCCTTTCCCTGTGGACTTCATATCTGGGACTGCTTAGAGAGCGATATTCTGTTGTATAATCTGGCCTCGGCCTTCTCACATAATACCCCTGTCTATGTTCCCGCCCTCTGATCTGGCTCGAGGAACCAACTCCATCCTGATCCCAGCGTCCTTGCTGCCTATAATTGTGCCTCAACTCCTCTTGTTTCTCTTGTTGGCGCCTTCTCAGTTCAGAACGCATGTCTCTCTCCCTCTTTTGCTCCAGCGTGTCCCGAAGATCTCTATCCTGTGGCGCATCTTGGCGCCCCTTCTGTTTGTTGGGGCTAGAAACTTCCTCTCCGATTCCTTTGCCATCCCCGCCAGTGCGAGAGGCAACCGGAGTGGTAAACTCTCTCTGCAGATTACGTTTAGTTGGAAGATCACGGACAGTTCATGTCTTCCTTTTGTCCCTACCATCGCTGGATCTCACACTGCCATAGCTATTTGCACTTACCGATGGTGCTCGTTGGGATCCCTCCTTAGGTCCCGAAGAACGACCCGGCGAAGCCCTTAGCCATTCTCCCCACTGCTGATTTGGATCCACCGCCGGGGTACATCCGTTCTCACCATGCACCAGCCATCCACACTCAAAACAGAAGTGTGGAATCTTTTCATACTTAAAATCAAACCATGTTTTCTCTAAATCATCTTCAGATTTCTTCAAATAAAATCCTCTCACCAAAGGTTCACACACTGGAAGTTTGACTCTGAAACACAGCTCCGAGCCCTTGGCAAAGCCATCTTTTTCCACATCCACTCGCACTATTTTTCCAAGCCAGTTCCCAAGTGCCTCCCTGAAGGCTTTTGAGCGCTTGTCCAAGGGCAGATCTTCAACCCGGACCCATATACCGACAGAATCAAACGTCATCTCTGATGGCCTCGTGGCTCCGTCATAATCCTTGAGCACTAATACACTGAAATCAAATTGCCATGGTCCATTGTTTAGAGCATGTTTCTAGTCACCCTCACTTCCAAAAGTCACCACAAATAAATTCCTCCCAATGATCTTGAACTGGGCTTCTCTGTGTAGACCCCAAGCCCTCGGCATAGATTTCTCTAACGCACGCTTGTTCATCAGCCGAGGAGAGAAAGCTTTCCCAATTGCAGACCACTTCGCGGCCTCTTATTTTCATGTTCCGCATCCTTAAAGACGAAGCCCATGGCCTCCTTCTCTGTCAGCACTAAGCCACCATGCCGTTCAGTCAAACTAGCTGCCGCCGCCGCCGTTTTGCCATCACCAGGGGATACGGAGGAGTTCCTGCTATGAGGGCCCAGTTGCGTCCTCATCGCTGGGATCGTCGCCTCCTTTGGTGCCGGCGATCGCGGCGTAGCCGCCGTTCCCTGTGTCTTCATACCCGTCGTCTTCGCCGTCCCAGGAGTAGCCGCCGCACTCCTCGGCGCCGCCGTTCCATCATTCATCCTCTCCGCCATGTCCTCCCCACCAGAAGGAGAGCAACACTCCGACCCGCACGTAAGGAATCGCCGCCGATCCCTCCCGTGCCGTCGAGATCCTCACCGCCACCGCTCGCAAAACCCTAACCCTAGCGCTTGAGCCGATCGCTTGGCAATCGCCTCAATCGCCTATCCGTGTTTTACGTGCGAGGTGGACCCTGGGGACACGTGTTAATCGACAGAGGTGGTTTGCGGAGACGAGAAATCATCCGGTAGATTTTAAACATTTTCCTTCTTTTTAGAGGATCGAGAGAGGGGGTGGGCAAACAAGCAGCGGCCCAGGCGCCCAGCCCATCTTCAACTCGGCTCTTTCGTTCTCAAGTCAGCCACGCAGCAGGGTCGCAGACCCGCTTCACCCGTTTCTTTTCATCTTTTTTCCCTCTCTCTCCCCCATTTCAAAACTTCCAGATCCACCTAGGGTTTGCGCCTCCTCCCTCCGCCCCCATCACACAAGCCGCATCGAGGAGGACGACGCCGACCTCGGACTGTCGGAAGCACCATGGAGAAGTACGAGAAGCTGGAGAAGGTCGGGGAGGGCACCTACGGCAAGGTGTACAAGGCGCAGGACAAGGCGACGGGCCAGGTGGTGGCGCTCAAGAAGACCCGCCTGGAGATGGACGACGAAGGGATCCCGCCCACCGCGCTCCGTGAGATCTCCCTCCTCCGCCTCCTCTCCAGCTCCCTCTACGTCGTCCGCCTCCTCGCCGTCGAGCAGGCCACCAAGGGCGGCGGCGCCGGCAGTGGAGGGAAGCCCGTCCTCTACCTCGTCTTCGAGTTTCTTGACACTGACCTCAAGAAGTTCGTCGACGCCTACCGCCGTGGGCCCGCCCCTAAGCCGCTCCCAACGCAGGTCGTCAAGGTAACGATTTTAATTCGCTTTGAGGCTGATTTGCCCTGCTCACTTGGCTTTCCGCCGATGCTACGTCGGCTGAGTCTCCTATCCATCGATCTGAGGACTTGGCACTTCCTCATATATGCCCATTCTGAACTCTGAGTTTTGCATCGTAAACGTGCAGAACATTGATATGCAATCAGAGCGAACTACACTGTAATTTTTAATTCGTAATTGACATGATTAATCTTGACGATAAATTGAAGAAATTAAGACATTGAACCATTTTAAATGCTGATGAAATGTGGAATCAGAACATCATACGGTTGTATGCGTTTGTAGTTGGTTTGAATTCGTCAAAAAATATGCAAGCTCTACTACTCTAGCCTAGTTGCAGGAGACTAACTAAGTAGTGCAGTATAATGGTTGAAACTCAATGTTGACTGCTGCTGGCGTTCTGTATTTTGCATACACTCAAGTTCAGATTAGGGCCCCCTCCAAATCCAGAGAGCTTAATTTGTTGGTTGCTTTGGAATCAATTCATCTTCATGCCTTTATTTTGGGGATGCTATCGTTAATTTTCATTGGATAGCAGTTGGCGGAATCCATTTTAATTTTGATAGGTCTGTTTTGGGCTAATAGACAACTTTCTTTACTTTCTTGTAGAGTTTCTTGTATCAGTTATGCAAAGGAATTGCACACTGCCATGGCCATGGGGTCCTTCATCGGTTAGACCTTTGTTTTCTGATTTATGTTGCTGTACTTATCGGCCCATACAACATTGCAATTGTTGCTAATGTGATTTATGATTGTTCCTCTTTGATATCATAGGGATTTAAAGCCCCAAAATCTATTGGTTGACAAGGAGAAGATGATACTGAAAATTGCAGATCTTGGGTTAAGTAGAGCTTTTACTGTTCCTATGAAAAGCTACACCCATGAGGTACTGTTTACTCGTCTATTCATCTGTAAAATTGGACAGTGAACACTAGTTTGACATAATTTATCAGCATGGTTTAGTATGTTCCTCAGTCATATTCCCTATTTTTGTGTTGTAGATCGTGACGCTTTGGTATAGAGCTCCTGAAGTACTGCTTGGAGCAACACATTACTCAACCAGTGTTGATATTTGGTCCATCGGATGCATCTTTGGTATGGCAATATTCCTTAATTTTGGTCTATGTTATTGAGTACTGCCTCTGGACTGGTTTACAAGCCCCTCTGGTACTTTGAGCCTAACTTTGACCACCGATTTAGTAAGAAAAATATAAGTTACATGCATAAAAAATACACCATTGGATTCACATTTGAAAGAAGCTTTCATTGCATACTTTTTGTGGCATATAATTGTACTGAAACAGAAAGCACACCTGTACAATCACAGCAAAAATACACTAGGGAATTGATGGTCACTCCTGTCTATATGAAATAGTAGATGAGTGGTTTTGTGCTTTAGATCAGTGGAAATTGCATTTGCTCGAACCAAGGTATTACCATAGCAGCAATTCTAAAGCCTTCAACGTATGAAGTATTGCAGTTTAAGAGTCAACTACCAAGATCTTAAGCTCCAATTTCACATGGGCCTCATGCTTTTGAATTTCTGGCCGACTCCTCAGTTTTTCCTTGCTCTCCTTAACTTACAAGATGACATATTTTCCACTTTTGATTGAATCCCCCTCCTCGCCCCCACCGTTTGATGTTTACACTCTTTATTATTCTGCACAGCCGAGATGGTCAGAAAACAGGCTCTTTTCCCTGGTGACTCTGAGTTACAGCAACTGCTTCACATTTTCAAGTATTTCTCTTTCTCTCTCTCCTGCTTCTCATTAGTACTGAGAATATGTATTTGTCAACTTATCATGATAAAACTACTTTTCTTAGTTGCAAGAATATCATGCTAGTACTTTCAGAACAATCTTATTTTTCGTCCTGTTCTGTTGAAAAACATGCCGGATTTTCCATGAGCTGATACTTGCCACAATCTGGAAACATAGCAAAATTTGTCCCAATTTGAGATAGTGGACTTTATCAAACTGTTCTTTGTCAGACTCTGTCTGAAAACTTCTGATTCGGATTAGCACCAGTGCGACATACAGTATGTCGTATTTTATTAGTTAATATTTCTTCTATCAATTTATATTGTACATGCATTGAACCATTAATTAAAAGTGCTCCTTATCAGGCTGTTGGGAACTCCTACCGAGGAGGATTGGCCTGGAGTAACTGCTCTGAGGGACTGGCATGAGTTTCCTCAGTGGAAAGCACAAAGATTGACACGTGCAGTCCCTACACTGGAACCAGAAGGAATTGACCTGCTATCGGTACGCTAAAAAGCTTAAATGCTAGCCCTTCATTCTCTTCACTGGAAAATCATTAGCCTGTCAAACTAAACATGCACTGTGCTTCATTACTATTGCTTGTTGTTTCTCCAACTCAACAAATTCAAGTTATGGAGATGTGCTTAACCATCCATTCCCTGTCATTTGTCTGCTATCTTATGATGTTAATTCTGCTGAACATTATTTTGATGCACTTGAGTTGAGTTTTCTATTCATATGCCAAGGCTGCATCAAGTATGTCTAGCCATATGGGCTTACATTTCCATGTCTCGTTCCTTGCAGAAAATGCTCCAGTTCGACCCGGCGAACAGGATCTCAGCCAAAGCCACGCTAGAGCATCCCTATTTCAACAGCCTCGACAAGTCTCAGTTCTAGCTGTTCTAGCTACCGTGTGATTTTTCTCAACTTGGTGTGTGCGCTCTGCTCACCAACTTGTTCTGCCATGAGATCGATGCTGAAAACGCACGAAACCATGTTTCATCTACCTACAATCAGCAACGGCGTGTTGCTGGTAGTTGGCTCCCATGAGCGCCCGTCTCCTAAACCTCCAGCACTTGATTTGCCCTGAGAATTATCGACTGAAGATACTGTAGGAGTTTTATTTGCTCTGTACGGAATTGTTTGATGAGATGGGTTTGTGGACAACAGACATTTGTGTAGCATAATAAGGCAGTACTAGTATTTGTTAAGAAAATGTTGCTTCATGACAAGTGAAGTTATTTGGAGCTGCGAAGTGGTGAGAGGCGTGGCGTGTGTCCGTGGAAGGAGCTTAATAGTTACATTTGATGTGGACATTTAACATAAAGCATGATTCTGGCGGGGACATTTGGCCAGCCGAGGTGCGGGAACTGTAATGAGCATATCCAAAAATACAAGCCATTTCTATGAGCTGGCCCGGTTTAGCAAAAGTCATGCTAAAATTGCACACCGCTTTGCCAAATTGTCATGCTAATAAAAAGGACTATGAACTTCCACATGCCTTGTTTGAGGTATAGAGTTGGATGCCAGCTCATGACCAAATGTATGTGGACAACCCCAAACATATTCCTGGACATTTGGGGTCTTGTTTGGTGAACCGTAGAAGAAGTCTTAAGGGCAACTCCAACGCACGAACGCATTTTGTCTGTTTAGATCTGTGTCGACAGAAATCACAACCCAATGCGCAGACATAAACACGTTTTGTGTCCATGTGGACGCAAAACCGCCTCAAATTTGGGCTGGGTTTGCATCCACACGAACACGAGATAGACACACCGCGCATTCGCTCAGTGTCCGCCCTACAGTCCTTTTAGATGCGCGCGCGTGGGGCCGGAGCGCCCACTCTTCTCCCTCTCTCTGCCCCCAACCGCTCGATAGTGCCCAACCCTAGCCATTGTTACGGCCGGTCGGAGAGGGTTTCGGTGTCGGCCATCTCAGCCTCCAGCCGTATGCGCGAGCTCGAGATACACCGCCGGCACTGAGCTCTCCCCGAAGACCTCCTCCACGATCCGGCATAGGATGTTGACTCGCCGAACTAGGACGCCTGGTTTGTGGACGAGCACGATGCGCGCCACCGGTCCTTCTTCGCCTCCCGTGTGCGTGCTCCCAGTCCACCAGCGGCTATTGAAGGGGAGACAGGTGAGGCGTCCGACGAGGCCCACAAGAAGGCCGGCGAGGAAAGAGCTCGAGGAGTTCGCCAAGTGGCTGGGCCTGGCATTGATCCTGGCCCGGAGCAGCCGGAGCACGCGTTGGAGTTGGATTTGCCCCCACCCCAAGATAAGAATGAAAATGTCTGGATGATAATCAAAAGGCCCAAAGAAATACTTGAGATTAAGAAATCTCAAGCAGGCAATCTATGAAGTTTCCTTTTTCCGTTCCTGTTAACCAGTTCTTTTTGCGCGGTAACCAATTCAGACGCAACGGCACCACGCTGTGCGGTGCTGTCCACGTACGTACGGTACCGTCCATCGTCAACAGCTCGTCAAAATTCCCTCCCCGGCCTTGCCTACGCCATCGCATCCTCGGATGGCAATGGGGTCCCCTAAATCGAAATCGAGCTCCCCCATGGCGTCCTCCAAGCCCCCCACGCCGTCCTCCGCGAGCCACCACCAGGCGCGCCGCCGCTGCCGCCGGTGCCTCGTCGCCACCACGGCCGTCCTGCTCGCCCTGGCCGTCGTCCTCGCCGTCCTCTTCCTCACCGTCCTCCGCGTCCGCGACCCCACCATCCGCCTCGTGTCCACCCAGTTCGTGGGCGCCGCCCCGCGCTTCGCGCTCCTCCCGACCCCGTCCCTCCACCTCAACCTCACGCTCCTCGTCACGGTGTCCGTCCACAACCCCAATCCGGCCTCCTTCACCTACGCCGGCGGCGGCCACACCAACCTATCGTACCGCGGCGCCCACGTCGGGGACGCCGAGATCGACCCGGGCGCCGTCCCGAGCCGCGGGGACGCGGAGGTCCGGGTCGCGCTCACGCTGGAGGCGGACCGGTTCGTCGCCGCCGGGGACGTGAGGCAGCTGGCCGAGGACGTGGAGAGCCAGGCGATGCCGCTAGACGCCGCCACCACCGTCCCCGGCACGGTGCTGCTGTTCGGCGTGTTCAGGCGCAGCGCCGTGGCATACTCCGAGTGCAGGCTCGTGGTCGCCGTCATGGGGATGCGCGTCCAGAGCCACGAGTGCAACAGCCGCACCAAGCTCTGACCCGATGATCGATGGATCTCGCCGGAGAAGATTGGGCGCGAGGCATGGCCGTGAAGGGGGGCGACACGTGCAGCCACGCCAGCGCACAGGGGAGTTTGGTGTGCCCCTGTGCGGTTACACGTTCGATACAAATGGAGGATTGAAATTTAAACAGCGGATTCCCGCAAAATCGATGCGTGTGTTTCTACACGTACGTGCGAGATTGGGGATTTGTATCTGATCTGACGATAAGCTATGACTTGAACATGGTAGTGTAGTGTTTTTTTTTAGGAAATCACCGAGGGAAGAGTTCTCTCACGTTATACTAGATCGGAATCGCGCCTTGGCGCGAGGGTGCCGGTCCAACATTTTGGTCAAGCTGGTAATGTTAAGTCAGTAGTAATCCAAGTTTATAGTACATATTCAAACAAGATAAAAAAAACAAAAGAATGAAGAAATATTCACACATGGTAGAAGCAAGACAATATGGAATTCAACATCACCATAACATTATCGTAAGGCAGCATCGAGTTTAGTGCATTCACGAGAACACAAAACACACTTGACATTAAGTCTGATACTAAAAGCGTGAATGCGAGAGAGGCAATGGATAGAGTATGAGCATGATAAAACAGAACGAACTACAATGCAAATAAGTGGCTTCATTCAACTGCCTTGTCAATGAGCTTCATAGGCAACCTGATGCAAACAATATGTGAGATATATGGCATATAATGATTTCTCTATAGACAATGCACTTGAAGTTTCGAAGGCAAAGGAACATATCTGATACTCCCTGATCCCTGCCGCCTCGACAAAGCTTGACCAATTGTTGTTATTGTGGCCCTAGACCAAAGCGCGCCTTGGCGCACATTGCCCGTCCAAGTGCCATGACCCAGCATGTATAAATCTTGTACATTCAAAGGAAATTATGGCACTCTTTCAAGACTAATGAGTTTAGTGGCGATTACAAACAGTAGAGATATATAAAAAACATGGTATACTGAGTATACTAAGTCAACAGGATAATTAATTTGCAAAGCACATGACAAAATTTGTTTCAAAAAGCCAGAGCTACTGCCAGATAGGTCAAACTGTTTGCATCAAGTTCAGAGAAAGCAAAAAAGATTCAAGATACCAACAGCCTGAATGTTAACCTTCAAATTCCAGAACCATACATCATCAACAACATAATATAATTAAAATAAGATAACTTAACATATAGGTCATTTCATTATTTCTAAGACATAAACAGAACAAATAGTCCCATATCAGAATTATCAGCAACATGACAAAATAAAAGGAGGTCCGTACATATCAGAACCGAGACTCCAAATCTCATGTCTCAGACATGAAATATATTCTTTATCAGATTTGAAGTACCACAATGGGCTAATAATGACTGTCAATGTAGGGTAGGTACAACATGCCTTTCTTTTCTTGGTCCTCTCACAAAGGCATGGCTCACTACACAGTCTTAACCACTGGGTGTCTACCTGAATAACCAAACCAATCAGCATATCAATTACAACTACATTAGAACCAAAAGGATCCCTAGTAAATTCAAATTTAAACCAAGAGATTGTTGTTAGTATGTATCTAGTGAGATTTATCATGGTATAAACATCAGCAACCACATTGGTTACTTATAGTGGAGGGTACAGTAGAACCAAACCTATACATTTTCACCGTATCTTCATTTACTCGTACGACTGGTATATCCTCTGTACTCATGTGTATCAATTAGCAAGAAATTAATATTGGCAAACAGATTCTCTTCCAAATTAAGCTCAACAACATACAGTAAATTGTATTTGGACTGGTTCCCATCTACTACTTGCACATCTCAGAGTCAACTGTCCATGGTATATCAAATAGAAATTTAGGAAGGAAAAGGAAGTGAAAGATAGATGGACAGATAAATGAAGAGTGGGAGAGTGAGGATATAGGCATAAGAAACATATCAGAATAGACGGTGACCGCATCTGCGGGCGTCATTGGGTTCTTTTCCATGGTTCTTTCCTATTTTATGAACATTGGGTAAAAGAAAGCAGGGAAAAGAGCAGGAGCAAGGAGGAGAAACAGGGAGAGGCATGAGGGGCAAGAGTCGACCAAGATTCATCAACCGAGATCCATCAAGAAGGGTAGGGTCTGTACCTAGACTATGTTGAGGTCACTGTAGCCGCAGTTCCGGATCCAGGCGAGGTAGTGTGAAACTTAAGACATGGAGAGAAGGGTCTTCTTGACTTCTTGTATTCCTCTCATTTGCTACTGTTTTGTAATCGGGCTGAGCCCAAATCCAGCATGAGTAGGCCTAATAGATTTTGTTGTCTGTAGAAAGAAACAGCAGTCAAAATAAATTAATCAGTTCAGATGAATATGAATAGCTGACATATGTGATCAATTTTTCTCGCTTAAAATACCAGGAACCTAATGCCTTTAAAACACCAGCATCCCAATGAAAAGCACCATGGATATAAAAAACCCAAGACAGACATACAACAATTTATTTTTGTAAGGATCTAAATGCAATGACCATTTTACCCTAACAATGTCATAGGTCTATATCAAGGTAGATTATATATGTATGTAAATACCCAACGGCGCAAAGGGAAATTAGAATGATTGTAGAAAATGACCAATCTAATATAGCAAGCTACTCCCTCCGTCCCAAAATTCTTGTCTTAGATTTGTCTAAATACGGATGTATCAAGTCACGTTTTAGTATTAGATACATCCGTATCTAGACAAATCTAAGACAAGAATTTTCGGACAGAGGGAGTACATCAGAAGGATGACATAGATATAAATAGGTTCAGTACATAGCAGTTGGTCCAAGCAATAACAAAATGCAGTGGAATTAGTTATGCCAAAAGCAATGCAATTTGGACTGAAATTATTGCCTGGAGTCCTGGAATCTGTCCATGACTCCAGGGTGCTAAGCAGGAAATTCACCTGCTACTACATTCTAGGAATATGATGTAGTTTTGTTAGTACCTTTCTTTTCATGTAGTGGCCGTGGTCATTGCAGCAGGCGCCGTGACTGTCTCAACCTCCTCTTCCGTCTCTACGGCCCGTGCTCCTCCTTCCGAGTCATGAGGAATCACAAGGATGTAAGCCTCTGAAATTTAAAAGGAAAAGGAACCACAAGGTCTCATCAGCCTGTTTAGTCATGGAAGGAAGCATCACATTTATATACACAACAGGGGCAACTTAATTTGAGAAAACATGCATGTATTGAACGCTTCCTCCAAATAATATATGGAGTTAATTACACATGCATCGATTTAAGCTATCTCTTTTCCAGATTGCTCAGGATATTTTAATTGCTAGCAAAGAATCCTGTGAAAGAAGTTGGTTATGTTTCGACACACTGCAAAGTTGGTTATATTTCAACACATGCTACAATGTCAAATAGAGGCCCACTTTCCCAGATTTCATTTCATATTCACCCAAAGCACACATGGACATATGGATACACACTGGATCCAACTTGTCTATTTAATAAAAAAGAAAGAAGAAGGATCATCTGTAAAGAGAAAACACCACATCACCATAACCAAATGCTTAAGGTCGAAAAGGTATGCATTCATCCACTATTTACAACTGATCCTACCAAGAAACATTTAAAAAAAATACAACAAGCACTGACAAAAATATAGGAGCAGCTATTATAAAAATATGATCAGAATGCGTTAGAAATAACTTGCATAATATGACAGTGGATCATATCTCACAATTAGAATACATTATAATATTGAAAACAAAAAATGAGGTGACCAATTAGAATATTCTCATTTAGGTGACCACATTCCATAGTTTAAATTAAAAAATTAGGCTTCTCCCTAAAGCATGCACTCAAGTAGGAGGCATTAAAAAAGAATCTAGATGAAACATACGGGCATACTTTCGATGTTTCATTGCACATCTTAATGGAGATATTATTATCTTATGGACCTCAGTAAAATTGACGACCTTATTAGTTGCAACTATAATTATATGAAACAGGTGCCTGCAACGAAAAATGACAAACCATGATTGATCACAAATGAATTAAGCAGCTACAACTATTCTATCTCATTCATCGGATAATGAAAAGAGAACCGGTTAGATGCTAATAGAAATAGTGTGATTGTTTAGACACAATTTTATTTATTTTTCATTTATGATGCTCTTTGCTTTATCCCAAAAACCCATTGTTTACTTCACCTTAGGACTGCATAGGAGATATTTCTTTCAAGGGATAATCAAATCAGCTATTTCTATTATAATCCAACCTATTCACTATCGGAAGATTAAAGAGAGGGACATAATAGAATGAAATGTATTACATAAAGAGAGCGTAGCTCACCTTGTTGCTGCAGGTTGGCATTGCTTGGGGAGGCAGTAGCTGCAGGCTTTGAGAAGGATGCTGTGTATACGGTTCTCCTGTTGTTGTAGCTTGTGGGAGACGCGGGGTGCAGTGTGCAGGCCGAGATCTCCTCTCCCTCTCCCATCTCCCTCTCTGCTTCCTCCTCCAGCCTGCTCTATTTGCCAAAAAAGATGCACCTTACCAAATTCAGAAAATGACACCGAGAATAGATGCAGAGATAAGTACAGGGTACTCAATAACCCCTAGAAGAAAAAATTGAAAAGTAATGTGTAATTTGACTTCAGATTAACAGCCTATGTGGGTTACTCGGCTGACTAATTATAACCACATGTCACTAAAACTACATGCCAAGACGCCAAAGACTTCCTCAACAACACCAAGAATAAAATCTCATTACTTAACCCACAAACTTTGTCCAATATGGGAGAGGACAGATGGTTACCTTGGCGGGATCAAGCTGCGGGACCTAGAAGAAGCAGTGGCGTCTTGGGTTCGAAGTTCGAACAGGCGAGGTTGGCAAACTGCAGGCCAGAAGACATGATGGTTGATGGCTACTACCAAATCTGTGTGGCGACGTAAACTAAATGCACCAAGTCATCAAAAGTCTAAGTAAAGTTTGCATAACAAAATAGCATTACAAATACTTGAT